TTTAATACAATTTTTTCTCCATGTGTGGCCCATTTGAACTTAACCGTCCCACAGTCGCATAACCTTGAGGATGATGTTACTTGTTGTCTCTAAATTGACCACAGAACGTATCAGAGCACATATTGATATTTGATAAAAGAAAAGAATTGCCATTAATTCATTAAAAAGCCTCTAATTATTGTGAACAATTTCTCAATTGCACCCAACAATAATTTACATGGCTATGATATTTCCCATGTCTGTGAGAGACAGATGTCGGGGACAGTGACACGTTTGAGCCACTTGACTTGCAGTGATGTTTCTAGAAACAGAAATTTTTATTTTAATCACAAAAGTCCCAAGACATTATTGACTAGATTCATAGTTATAAATATTTAATTAAAAAATACTGCATGTTGAAAATGTTGCAAAAAAAAAGTCTTGCAAAAAAAAAAAACAGGATCATTAACAACAATTTTCATTCATTATCTGCTGGCGTCACTAAACAGTACAGAAACATAAATCCATCACATACATAGGTACCATACTTTAAAAGACAACAGTAGGATTGAGGTTGGTGACAACATAAGCGTCTTGTTTAGTATTTGACGTAGTAATTCCTCGTAGCCTTAAGGTAATAACGAAACCCTTTAAAATTAACCTTTCAACTCTTAAAGTCCAAGGGAGAATTTAAAGACACTGGAATGAACCTTCGCCACCTGACATCACCTCCACAGGAGTGTGGCCTCTTGTGCTGAGACCTGTCACATAACCTGCTGGGGACCCTGCAGGTTACAAGCACCTGTCTGCCCTCAGGAGAAAATTGACATACGTAGCTGCCGAGCGTGCAGCACATTTCAACCCGTGAGAAACTCTGCTCCACAGGGTCAATGAACGTTGGGAGGCCTAGCACCAGTCTGTCCCACACCAGCGGATATATACAGAGAGAGACAGAAGCACCGCAGAAGGAGCCTAAAGCCCCCAGTCTGAGCATGCAAAGGCAGACAGACAGTGGTATTTCACTCTTATGGAGCCTTGAAGAGCCAAATTTATGCCTCTCTGGAGAAACCACACTAAAGTGCCACAGGGCACCACACGGGAAAAACAACTCCAAAGAGTGGAGCGAACGAGTGGAGGAGCCACTCAGCCCTGCTAACAAACGGAGATAATTTATAGCTGCATGTCTTCTAGGTGGTGCTGCCTACCATTGTATGGATGGAGCCGGTATCATAAAATAAAATGTCTGATCTATTCTGGCGTCTGACACTTGGACAAGAAAACAATTAGTATTATTCACACTGAATGTCAGGCAGATAAATAAAGTGTGTGTGTGTGTGAGAGCTGAATGAAGATGCACCTGATAAATAACATACATAAACAAAACACATACCTGATGGCCTTGAATTTGCTGAATTCCTGATGTGCAGGTGGCGCTGACCGAAAGCCTTGATAGAGTTGCAACCCACACTGCAAAGAAGGAGATTTCAATAAAGTAAAAAAAAGCCTGTGTTGAAGAAAATAAGTCTTTTCTTTGACCAAGAGAGACAATGATCATGTTGAAAAATAAACATCGGACGCAACAACACCGGCACCTAATCAGTGTCAGGCCTGATATTTGTACTCATACTTGAAAAACATGTGCCCATCTAGTAAATCATAACTCACACCACAACCAGCTGCTTACCAGTCATCCAGTGTTGTGTGTTTTCATTCTGCAGTTCCATTTCTCATTGTGCTCACTGATAGTTTATTTAAGTAGTAACAATGTCAGCAGTTTGGAGGAATCTTAACATCAGGGACCAAGACCTACTGTAAGAATTGTCCCGTTATGATATGAGTCAGTTAATAAAACACCTGAAGATGTGTTTCAGGGCTGAATAAGCTAATGTCTATTCTCAGTTTAACGTCACAGTTGACAGATTTGAACAGACTGAATTATGTCGACATATGACAAACAGTTCTGGGGCTGACTTCTGGATTTGCTGCATGGCCAGACTTAATCTGTAGTCACTGCCGAATTACACAGACAAAGCCATTTTGACACATATGACACTACTGGGTAAAGTGAAACTATTCTATTGTTTTTTGGGTTTTTTTTGTTCCAGAATTTTTGGCGTCATGATTTTCTATGCATATTTAAGACCTGAATATACTGTACATGTATTGCAATCAAAGTAAAAATTAATCTGACAGAGGATCATGTTCTACTGCAAAATTTTGAGAACACAAATGTGGCGCAGCTATTACCAACATTTGGCAGGACCAAATTTTGAGGAGCCTTGCTGTTTGGTGATCTATGAGGACTATGTTTGGGCAGACTTTTAGCTTTCTTTGGCTAACTTCTAGACATTTTGTGTTCACCTAAGAACCACTTCTAACTAGTCCCTCCTCATTTAAACCAAACTGTGATTGAAAACTGGTTGGAACCACACCGGAACCTTCTGCACTGCACTGCTGGATTCCAGCCTGTGACCTTTCTCAGGTCTCTCAGTCTGTACTTGTTCACCATGACTCTCTTCCTAATAATCTCACGTTTACATCTTTTCCTAATGACTTTAGGGTAACGTCAACATCTTCAATTCAATGAGTCTTCAATTTCTCTGTTCACATTGCGGTTACAGTAAATGTAAATGTCACAAAGTCCTTTTCAAATTTCTCATGATTTGTACAAAACAATCCTTTTTGACCGTCCTTTTAATGAACGTGTAATTTATTGCACTGAGAACTCCTTTCACATGCACTCGTGTGCCACAACAAAATGTGCACATTTCTTTGTGGTGGCACAAATATTGTAAACTGACAAGTGAATGTTTGACTATTGTACCATGAAAAACAAAGAGACGGGAACGAGCCACATTAAACGAATGACACAAATCCCTAATATGTGTCACATTGTCCTCGAAAAACCGAGACTTGCTGTCAAGGACAGCCGAGACTCACTGACAGGATACCGGTTAAAAGAGAACGGTAGGCTGAGAAGGAGTTCACGTCAGATTATCTGTTAGGGAACACTGCCATCTAGTGGACCTGCCGTATAATGTCGTTACGTCGACATCACTCACGCGTCTGAATAGATACTTATCTAAAACTTGTGAACAATATTTAGCAGTAATTTAAATGACTTACCCGAAGGAGAAAGACATGTTGACGGTTTCATTAGTGATTTGTTGTACCGTGGTTTTCAAAACATTTACACCACGTAACTCTGAAAATATTTCACTCTGCGAGTACTGCTGTCATTAAATGGCAGCAACACGTGCCCCTTCTGTTCAGCTAAGCCAGTGTTCCCCAAAGAATCGGGTGTGGGTAGGGAAGGCGGGGGAGGGTACCTTACACCAAGGGGTATGTTGTAAGGGGGCACAGCAGGACAGGTTCTTTTATTATTATTTTTTTAAAACTCAGATAGTCCGAGATCCCAGCTTCTTGATAGCATAACGTTCGACTACTTTTTATAGGTGGTTTCCCCTGCAAAGACCAAACCAGGCTAAATCATGCAACAAAAATAAATAAATAAATCACTGCAGGCCAAAACAGCGAAATAATGGAATTAACTTGTCTTGTATTTTAAACATAACTTATTCTCAACGAACTTTTACTTAGTTTAGGCTGTTTTTTGTATTTGTGTTTCTTCTATTGTTACTAGTTTTTACCAGCTACCTGAAAGCCCAGCTCCAGTTCATCCTTCTTCATCTCATGAATAGACCTACTTGTCAGTATTGGGATGTTTTCTGATTGTTGTTATCTGCTGTAACAGCTGGTATTTTAGCTGCTGTGTCAGCCTCACAGCTGATGATATCAGTCGACTCAAGACTAAGCCTACGACAATGGCCCATCTGAAACTCACCTCCTGTCTGTCAACAGTAGATTTTTGTCATCTGCTACCACACTGTGTCTCTACATGGGGTTTTTGCAGGTGTGTCACGATTCAGTGACTAACACTCCACCTGGACAATCAGACTCGGATCAGTCTCGCCCTAAATCCTACACATAAAAAGAAATGTAAAGAACAGGAATACGATTTGTCAACAAACTTCATTCCCAATAAATGTCTATAGCTTTACGTAAAGCGTGGTACGTTACCTACAGCTTTCCGTTTGTTGTTGGATTTTTGTTTTGCTCTCTCGATTTAAATCTCTTTATTTTGGCTACATTTTACAATTTCTATCGGAATTCTGGTATTGTTGGCATGTATGTGCTCAACATTTTTACCAATCCTGCTTTATAACGTCTCAACGGTTATTCTTCTACCCTGAAGGTTCCGAAATTAAATTAGACATTTTGTAGTCGAAACAGGTTAAATAAACACATTTACTTTACACTGTATGGTATAAACTGTTAAAAGAACATACAAATTACCTACCTTCCCTACCGTTTCAGTCTTTAAAACCTCCACTTTAAAAGCGTTTTCTGTCCATTTTCTTTCATTTTACCCTAGGGTTAAATTCTGTAATTGCCGCCACGCAGCACCTGTTTTGTCACGTGGTTAAAATCTTACAATTCTATTGGCTGTAACAGTGCATATAGAAAATCAGGCCAAAGCCCGTGTCACACTAATACACAGTATATTTAAATACGTTCTGCTAACGTACACAGTATATTTAAATACGTTCTGCTAACGTAAATACACCTTTTAGCACCTCACAAAAGAATTGTTTCAGCGAACTTGTTTCTATTTTACAGCTTTGTATGTTCCTGCATTACATGAAAGAAAAAAAAGTCTCCACTTATAAATGGATATGGACTCACGTTAATACGCATTCAATATATTTAAATCGATGCAAATATATCTATGCAAAAATGAGAGAAAATGACCCCCCAGGCTTCTCCTTACCTCCGACCTTGGGACGTCCAGGTCTAGTGCAGATGTTCTCGTAGATGTGCCGTCTGATTATGGCACTAGGTCAGTTAAGGTCTTTATTCTGAAGCCTGTATTGTAAATATACACATACAGTACTATGCTGATCGTATAGGGGGCTGTGTACAGTATACTTGATATTTACACAGAATATATACATTTACTATTGACTACTGGATTTTTTTTAATTTTCAAATACTGCAAATGTAAAGGATCAGCCGATCACAGTACACTAAATTTAATTGACACATAAAGGCATTCAGTACTTATATACATCTTATTTTGAGTATTTACAAAATAGAGAGCCCATGGATGTTACACGTGTATAAAAATATGCATTGCATCTATATAAATATGTACACAATGTGCAAAACATATGGCATTATAAACAACAAGAGGCATGGCATGGATCGTGGATATGGATAAAGAAAAAGAACAAACAAAAACAAATGTCCATCAGCTGACTCAAGTGGTGAACGTTAACTGACGATGTACAGTGTTCATGTGACAGACAGGGAAGCTGCAGCCTGACTGCTGTCACGTCAACAAACCTCTTTACATCAGCAGGTTTTTAAAACCTAACCACTCAGATGTGAAGTGTTTTTAAACTCATATATTACTCTGTATGCAGTAAAAGGCTCCTTCATTAATAAAAATCAAGGCAGGATTTGACTTACAGTACAGTAAATGTCAAGGCAGAGCTGCACTTATTGCCCTTCAACTCTGCCTGTCTGGCTAATCAGCAACCATGATGGCCAAAAGTGGTTGGTGTCACGTCGTCAAAGTGTAAATTGTTCATATTTTTGCAGCCAAGAAGTTTGTGCATGTCAGATATGAGAAGAGAAAACCTTTAGGAATAAAAACGAATCACCCCCCCACACACACACACAAAAAATATGATTTTACACAAGCAACGAAACAATAATGTTTTTTCCATCATTACAAAAAATAACAAAACAGAATAATATATTCCTCTGCCTTTTGGCAACAAAATGACATATCATATAAAGCCTTAAAAAACACAAACTTGTCAACTTGTCTATAGGATACACAGACATGTGTACCCACCAGTACTAGGCATTTACAGCATTGTGAGGGAAACTCATAAAATACAGTGGGAACGTTTCAGAGAACAAAGACAGATATTGCCGCCAGATATTTGGTGCAACAATGACAGCGTTGTGAGTTTGGGAACATCCAAAGAGATCTTAGAATTTCTTTTTTTTTCCTAAGGTTTCCACATTATTGCTTATGTCAACAGCAAATAAAGCAAAAGTAAAATCACCTAATTTACCTTCTTTTATCTCCTAAAAATTGACCCTGAAGAACCTACAATTGCCACTGGCAATGTGCCAACATGTCACAAACGGCGGACAAGCGCCCTCTAGTGTCCACAATGAAGTGGTTAACTGCAATTTAACTGACAAAAAAGAGACTTAGGAAAAAGCAATCTCATTTCAAAGTGCCATAAAATTAACCCACATCACCCTTGCCTCCCCCCTCCGCAACTCACAATACTTAGATAAAGATAGTAAATCATTATCCTGGGATGATAGGTTATAGTATGTGGGATGTGATATAATCCTCTTAAAAATACATGATGAGTATTAACCTTGGCTTAAGCAGGACAAAGGTGTCTGTGCGTGTTTGACATTAGCACAAACAAAACTGAACAACGAAGAGTTTAAACAGTACAACAGCCGTCAGAAGCTTTGAAAGGATTAACATTTAGTCTGGGAGCTTATTACATTCACCAGGAATAAAACAGCCAAAATCCCTTCTTAGGAAAAGTCAATGCAGTGGTTCCCGAAGTGTGGGGTGCAACCCCTGGGAAAGGCCAAAGAATGAGGTTCAAACATCTGTACCACAAACCAGAAGCCCACAGCATGGACTTGTGTTTTATGTTTCAAATTCTCAGTTAACTAAATAAGTTTTACAGCCTGTTTTGTGGAGACAGTTAATGATATTTTCTAAATTTAATATTATTTTGTTTTGTCCCAGGTTATGTATGGTAAATAATTAATTGCAATAATTCTAGTTTTTTGTTTGATGAAAAAAAAGAGTGATTATATTTCATTTCAGTTCAAGTTTGAAGCACAGTGTGTCAGAGGGCACAACAACAGTCATATCTCCAAAAGGGGGAGCCACTGAGTTAACTCATCATTTAAGAACAAGAAGATTTCTTTCCTCTTTCGGTAAATACAATAAGCTCCCATCATGTAGAAAATGTTGCATCAAGTGCAACTTCAACAACTTCAGCACTGTAAAAGCTCAGGAATCAGAGAATAAACCTGACGACAATCGTGCACACGGAGACACACAAAGATTCATGCAAGACACAGAAAGACAAATCTACATTTACACACACACGCGCTTCAATCTTTCACTGACACACACACACACACACCCACGTACACAGTCAGTAGCTGATGCATCAACATCAGACTGTTTCTCCTTGTTTTAGAACATCGATCCTCAAACTGAGGGTTGGTCTCCAGATAATAAGGCTGGAAAAGCAGCCTTAACGTATGAGCTACAGGGAATTTTAATGGTCGTATCTGTTGGTTAGTGTTACATTATTTCTCTCTTTCACTTACTCTCTCTCTCACACACACACACACACACAAAGTGCAAGGATGTTTAAGGAAATCTTGATAGTAAAGCTCTTCTTCTTGATGTGACTGACAATCATACAGACTTAGGTCTCGGTGTCTATGAAAGCCATATTTGTTCCCTTTCTGTTGCCTCGTGTCTGGTTTTACCATCAGACCCGAGAGAAAGCTGCCAACTTTTGTAAGTTATGTCCTATTTTTTTGATTGTTTCAAAAAGTTTACATTCAAAGTAAGAGAGACTTGGCCAACAACTACAATTAATTCTGACGTGATCAGGGCCATTACTGATCTGCCGATCGATATCATCTTGATATCAAGGCCTGTGATTCACATTTCATCCCATTAAGTGGAATAAAGAGGCCGAGTTGTTGATCCTTTGGCCCCGTTAGTGCATAGCTCTCGCTTTGAAGGAGGAGCACCTCCTGTCGTCGTCGGTGTCCGACTGGAGTCCAGTCTTTGTTCGTTAGGACTTGTTGGTTCATCAGCCTGTGACTGTCAAGAGGACAGAATGAAGAGTCACATCTGATACAGCATTTATCAGAACGGTCAGCAAGCGTACTTTTAGAGTATATGGGCATCAGACAGCTTGGCTTCACCTCAGGTAGGAGTAGTCTATTCCAAGTGGGTCAAGGTGGAGTTGTTAGTTGAAGCTGCTGCAACAGACCTCAAATTCGTCACTATTCAGTATCTCTTAACTCTTTTTACTGCAAATGCCAACCATAACCCAGTATGGCACAGCAAGTCTCAGAGGGTTAGAGGTTTTCAAAGATGAAACACTTCAAGGTGTATGTAGTAACTGTTACTGCACTGACACAGTAAAAAGATAAAACAGTCACAAGCTCTGTGAACAGTATATTGTCCTAGTGTGGTGTGAAGACTATTTACACATTTACACCCTTTTTGATAAAACTCTCCCTCTTTTAAAGCTGTGCAAACTCCTGCTCGTAGTTTTAGCTCCATCAGTGCACTGCCCAGCCAACGTCTCTACTGTAGTATAGTGGGAACGTCACAGATAGTGATGATGATCCATTGATTTAATTGAGGCACAGACAAGGTCTGATGTTCTCTTTTTGTTTCCCTTAAAAATGTGATAGAATGTGAATGACCTTAACAGCCAGCGACTGACTTCAGCTCCTGGCTCAGATACTCAGCCGACTCTCTTTCCTTCTCTGACCTGTCAGTCCCAGTGCAGAGGAAGATCCTGTGTGTCCAGGAAGTCCGTTGGGATTCCAAGTGGTGTGAGAACTCCAGCAGAACCAGGGGGCATGGTGAGGTCCAGCCATTCCATATTGTCCAGAACCGGGTCGGACAGACCCATGTGTATTGAGGAAGGAGGTGAAGAGGAATCACAGAAGGACAGATCCGATGTGTCCATGGGTGAGTAGGGCTGCTGGTCCATCAGCTGGGCATGAAGCTCCTCCATCAGACCCTGGGTCCGCAAGTCGGTGGCATGTGACGTGTCCGCCAGTGTTCTTTCCAGAAAGGCTTCCAGCTGATTGTCAGTGGCCAGAGAGGACAGACTGTGCAGACTGGGGTCGACGTTAGGGCTTAGAGTGGGAGGGGGGCCCAAATGAATCTGAGGAGGAGGTCTGGAGAGGACGGTGTTAACAGGCAGGGTGGTGATGTTGGCTGTGACTGGGAGGGTCTTACTGAGAGTCGCGGGAGAGTCCTGGTGGATGAATGGTTGGATTTCTGGAAAACAGCGGGACAAAGGTGTCAAAAAGACACCCAACCACAACCCAAAATTATTCTTTCTAAAATTAAATTAAATTGCATAACATTTTCAATAGTAAAAATTCATTGTAATAAGGGACAAATTCAGTAGAACCCTGTATTTTAAGAAATAAGTTTTTTGTTTTTTTAAAAAAGTCTTGACTTTTGTTTAATTGGTGGTGTAAGTAAAATTATACCTGATTTAGTGCTACAACTGCCCACAGCTCCACACTTTGAAAATATCAGCCCTGGTGTTTAAAACCTACAGTATTTAAGAACAGTCAATGGTAACATCCATGTACTTTACATCACCAACTGACCTCCACTCTCTATGAGGATGTCAAATAGGTCATCCATTTGTTGGCTGGTTGCTGAAGGAGCCTGAGAACACAGAACAAATGATATTCAGAATCAGAACTAGTCCTTGGATCCCCAGAGGAAAGAGTTGGTTTTACATGTGTCTCCAGAAAAGCCAGAGCTATATACTGAGACAGATGTAGAATATACAAAAGACTTAAATTAAATCAAAATTGAAATTGGTTTTGTCTTTGGAATTTTTTCAAGGCTTCGTCTGGACATTGTCTCACCTGTGGTGCATTGTTGATGTGCATGTTGCGGCTCTGTTTGACAGCCTCCTCATAGCGGGGAGGCTCTCTGGTCTTTGGTGGCTGTGTGATGAGGGAGGTGGGCTGGAGGATAAAGGTAGGCTGGGGAGAAGGAGACTGGAGAAAAAAAATAGAAAGAGAAAAATTAGGGTGTAAATAAAGACAGATGTACATCTTTTTCCTCAAGTTGACACTCGTTGCTCCCTTATGACAAGTTAGCCCTACTATTACAACCATGTGCTGACCACTGATTTACTGTGTCACCTTGTTAAGTGGTCCATTGGTTATGTGATGATTGGGTGAAGCCCGTGGAGAGACTCTGTTTTCAGGAGACCTTCCTAAGAAACACTGAGGATTCATCTCAGTTCTACTCTGGTGCTCCAAACCAGTTGTATTATTGCACACAGTCAGAGTCTGTCAGAGAGTAAGAGAAAATCAGACATCAGTAAATCACAGGTACAAAAATGTCACAAATAAAAAAACAGGAAATCAGAAAATCCGAAGGCATATTTAAGAATTAAATATCTTAAGTTTTTTTATTTGTGTTTTGTTATGTGACAAACCTGTAGCAATTGGTTGTGGTTAGTTAGCTGCTGGCTGGACACCGTCTCCATCTTACTGTTCTGCAGCTGAGGAACTGAAGCCTGTGCCATACCTGGATTTGAGGCTGTGGTGACAGGCTGAAATGAAGAAGCCACAGTCCCCATGTCAAGCTCTGACAATCAGACATCTTATTAGACCATAGATTCATCAAAAACCTGTTCTGACTTACCTGCAGACTGACATTGGTTCTCGGCAGCTGGATTGCTGTTGCATTGTTAGGCAGCGAGACTGGGAGCAGGATCTGAGTCCCAGCTTGACCAGTAGAGGTCAGCACAGTCTGAGGTTGTCCAGATGTAGTTAACAGGGTCTGGGGTTGACCTAGCACCTGGGACACTCCACCTTGGTGACTAATAAAGAACTGCTGCAGACTGGAGGACGTGGGTTGGGACTGGGGCTTGGTCTGGAGTTTAGGACTCCTCTGCTGCGGGATGGAGCTCATTTGGTGTTGGGTTTGGGACTGGATCTTGGTGATGAGCTGAGTTGGAGCCTGGAGCTGGATGGGCTTTCCAGCAGCAACAGTCACATCCTCCAACTTCACCATGGTTGGTAGAGGTGGTGTGAGAGCCTGAGAGCCCAGGATTGAGTTAGAGATGGTAGCAGCAGGGGAGGAACAGTTGGACAAAACACTACCTTCTACTTTTATGACATTTTGATTTAGGACAGCAGGGCCGAGGTTCATGGCAGGTAAGGAGCTGTGTTTAGGAGATACACTAACAGAGTCTGCTATGCTGCCACCCTGCCCTCGCTTCTCCACCTCTAACTGCATCTTCAGCTCTTCCACCAACTTCTGCTCCTGCTCCAGCTTCCTCATCAGCTCCTCGATTTGCCGCTCCTTCTCGTGAAGCCTTCTGTCCTTTTCTTCTGGCACGCCAACAGACAGAACAGACAAGGACCACTGAGCTGATGAGCCAGAGCTGCTGGCTACTGGTGCTTCAGGTGGTGCCTCCATCATGCCAACATCTTGCTGGATGTTGGAGACTTCATTTGGATTGGGTGACACTGGTGGTGTGGCGGTCATGCTCTCTGAAGCCACCTGCTGGACAGGATGGACTATGGCAGGGGTGGTACTGGCAGCAGTGGGAGCAGCGCTGATGTCCATGGGGATGGAGGTGGTAGTGGAAGGAGGAATGGTGAGAGGAGCAGAAGTGCTAGAATTATCCTGGAAAGGCTTGAGTCTCTCGATGAGATCAGTTTTAGTTCCTGACACAGGAAGGCTACGCAGCTTCAGCTCCAGTTTCAGCTCGGCTACCTGCGAAGATTAAAATGGGTCAGGAACAATCATATAGACTTTAAAAGAGAAGTGTTTGCTTTCCAAAATATTGGGCCACTTTACACAATGTTGTTAAATAACCAATTCCTCTGGCACTCATGTCCCTTAGACCATCTGAACAACTGAAAAAAGACTACATTTACTACACTCCAACAGGCTGTCAACCTTTACAAACATCAGTTGAACCAACATCCTTATGATGCTTATGATGTCACGCTGGCAGAGCAAAAAAACTTCTAAGACCTTCATCTCCTCCAGGTTGGCGGGCAGAACTCCAGGCTTGCGGTTTGTCAGTGAATTGTTTGGCCGAGACGCAGCAGGAACCGGGGGTAGAGGAGGAGGTGCAGGAGTGGTGGGCAGTGACACCACAATGGAGGTCGGCAGGCTGCCTGTAGTGCTGTTCTGACCCTCTGCCACAGGTCTACGAAGAGAGAAAGAAAGAAAGAAAGAAAGAGAGTGAAAGAGAGAGAGAGAATGGAAGTGTGAGAGAGAGAGAGAGAAACAAAGACTGTTATTGTTAGAAGTTATTGTTTTATAGAGGAAATAATTGACACCATTTGTATGTCTCACAAACAAGGAAGTATGTGGGGGGGGGGCTAAAGTTGACAAAGGAGATGTTGCAGAGATGGTTGGTAACAAAGGTAGAGAGGAAACAGAGGAAATCTGGCTTCAATATGTGGAGCTGCACGCCCTGTATTCTTGGCTTCACTAACAAAACCACTGAAGCTGACCAAAGCACAGAAGCACAGATCAAACACAACTCTGTCGTGCAGCTGTGGAGAGGACATCTTGGAAAAACTAAACCTGGTGAGATAACATGCTGTTAGTTTTTTTAATCGAGCAAAAGCTATGTTTTTATTGGGGGGGGGGAGCAGCTGTCTTGACTAAAATATTTGTCTGGTTGTCCAGGAAAGGAAGTCAGATTAAAGGTTAAATGTTGGTATGGATGATAACATACAGAGACATCCTGCAGCGTGCACACAGTAGGTGGAAATCCTGAATAATGGGAACTGCTGAACTATTATTGGTATACTGTGCAGAAAAGGCAAGACCACAGGCTAATGATGACGATGATGGCAACAACAGTTAGCATGCTATTGTTCTGACTCCGCTGTGGATTGAAAAGACAATAATTATTTGTACCGTCAGGTAACCTTAGATTTAAACTGACTGCTCACCTTTCGTCCATCATCTTTCCTTAGAGTTTCAAAATTAAATGCCATCTCCAACTGACCATTGTTTTTTTAGGCCCTTTGGAAAAATACTCTTCAAACCTGTACCATCCTCCACAGGTAATCCTCACTCCTCTGCGGGAGTAAGATTATTTATTTAATTCAATGTTAGTGTTATTTCTTCTTATTTTTTCTATTACTGGTATTATTATTGGGTGCAATATTGTTGATGCTATATTTTTGCAACTTTTAATGTTTTTGTTTAACTTGTTGGCGGTTGATTTTTAAATTGTATTCACTTTTTAAAACTTTTTCTGTTCTAATTCTCTAAGTCACTTTACACAGTTTTATCTACTTCTTGAACTTTTTTTGTTGTACAGTATGATCATGCCAAGTCAAAGATTGTCATTGTTTATACTGTCACTTTATGTTAGGTCCGGGCAGACAATAAAAATCTTAAATCAAAATATAGAATTTTTAGCAGAAACTGAAGAAATATAGGAAACTTTTTAAGGTTAGATTAGCAGCTAATAACAGAGATTTAATTTCCCCATGTTATAACTTTAGTCGTTGTAGACGTGCAGTGATCCTCATGTAGTAACCAACTAATCAGTCATGGTTATGGCTGTCTTGTGTCCATACTTGAGTGGAGCTGGTAGGATGGTCTGGTAGTTGTAGTGCTGCTGTTGTTGGCTGAGAATCTGCAGCTGCAGGAACAGCTGCTGCTGCTGCAGTAGTCGGGCGTAAGAAGAGTCCATTGGTGCCTCGCTGGCCTCCTGCTTCTGGTCTGGAGGAACATACTGATGGTACTTTAGCTTCTTCACCCTGGGCTTCGGCTCCTTGCCCTTCTTGCGACTTTTCTCCCCAGGTGTCTTCTGCTGACTTTGCTATGATTAGAGAAAATGTTTTACAATATGGCTTAGCTTAGCTAAGCTAAACACAGAAAAAAGGTTGAATTCACAGATTTGTTCTCCTCACTTTGACCAGTGTTGGGCCTGATTTTGAAGGAGGGAGAAACGGACGGCTGGACAGAAGCTCACTGGCAGGAATCACTTTTGTGATTTCTGTTGTCGCTTGTGTAGAGATTGGGAAGGTCTGAAAAGGGAAAAAAAGAGTTAAAGAGCTGAATTCTTCACTTTCACTTGTTAGGGATACATTTAATGGCGAGTTCCCTGTCACACCTGCATCATGGATCTAGACAGTGATGTTGATGTTGGAACAGGAGAGGGCGTCTCTGGAGCTTTGCTCTCTCCTGGTGACGGGGCAGAGTTCTGAGACTCCTGGCTAGCTGGCTGCTCTGGAGACAAGGGTTCACAGCTGTCTTCATCCAGCACTTTAGGGTAATTCATCTGGCCAACTAGCAGAAGAAACAGAGTTTAGGTCCTCCAACTGTTCTAGAACATTTCTGTAAGGACTTTTTCCCTGTAGTTCTTTCACCAATGATGGCTTCTTTCAGGCTGACATCCACTGGAATGATGTTCTTCTCCACCAGCTCCATTGGACCAGGTCTTTGGGCGATCTTCTCATTCAGGTTGTCGGCCAATCGGGCTCTCTTTAGCCTCATCTGTGTTGCCTGCAGTGAAGGTTCTGCTCCAGTCTCTGGGAAATTTCACATGCATATCATAGTATCAGTTTGAATGTTTAATTTAGTGTGAAGTTCTTGGTACAGTTTCACAGGAAACAAAAAACATCAATGGAGCTGACTGTGAGATTTTTTTTTCTCACCCTGTAGAATGTGCATCCTGACCAGCTCTGCTCTCTCTGGACGACTACGAATCTTGTGTTTTAGGAAATTCTCAGTCTTTAAATACAAAAAAAGTTAAATTATTTTTTTAACGTCCACATTTTCGATTTAGCACTTTATGTGGAAATGTGTGCCTCACCCTGGCTCTCTCCAGGCTGCGAATCTGCCCATGGAAAGCCGCTGGGCTCTTGAGAGCTACAAAGAATTACAGGAATTAGACACACTTCACCAAGATATGACAAAAAGTGTGTAGGATCAGACAGCAACCATTAATGGTTCTTACGTGGCATGATGCCCTGCTCCACCAGCTGCTCCCGTGTCCGCCTTTGCTGGAGCCTTAACTGCAGGACTGAGAGCAAACAAGAAGAAGAAAGAAAACAAAAAAAGGACAGAAAACATTGAGACCAAACTGAGGAGTCAACCACATGGACTAGCCTCTCTCCCCGCCCTCTGGTGACTACCTCATATCCTGCTGTTAAGTCATTAGGGCTCACATTAATGATAATGTCATTACCGTGTAGTGTGCCCACTTACAGCTAACCACATTTCCTTATGTTAATACACTGAGAAATACACACGAGTGCATGATAATGTCAGACCACACCTCCTTCTCCTGCGCTGGCATCAGCCTGTAGAAAACGAATCAAATTGACTTTCCCACAGTTTGACATTTTGAAGTCTATTATTTTGTTTTCACTAACATGACATTTCCCTCTTGGAAGAACAGCATTCCAGATCCAAAAATAAATCAATGACGTCTGGCAAACATGAGAACCCAAAGATTCCTTCTCCTGAAATAAGAGTTATTCATATGATTATCAGGCTGCCATTGATCCGGACTTATGGTTGACAAATCAAAAATATCAAGAACGTGCAGCATCATTAGTCAGAGTGAAAATTACAGTTTGACAGCCTTAGAATTCACAGCCAGAAAAATTCCAATACACTCCAACTTTCTCTCCTCTCTGTCTGCTAACTTTGTACATTTCATATTTGGTCTGTGAGTGATCCAAACTGTCAGACATGATCACACTACTGAGGGACAGTCAATAACATCAAAACTCTGTGATTAATGTAAAAGTATGTTGCAAAAACAAAAGTACAAAATACAAGTCCATATATTGCAGTTTAAATTTAAACTGTATTTATTATTTTATTTTCACATGCAGCTCTTTTAGCCTTTTTTGTGTCTCGATTTGTTTCTTTTCAAAATGTTTACTACTGTGTTATCATAATTACTGTAATTACCTTTTGAGCTGTTTATATTTAGTTTGTATTTTCACAACTTTCTCACATGGTGGGTTTTGTGACTTTAACTGTTTCATATTCTTTAATGTGTTGATTTTAAAAAGAAAGGGGATGTGACCCAGTGGTAACTGTGCGACTGTTACTATTTGAATTGCATATCTTGCAGTCCTTAAATGTTAATCAAATAGAAAAAAACTTCATGATTATTCTGATAAAACGTAAGAACATTTTAATATGACTGCAGAAGAGCACATAAACTTTAGAACATGTAGATTTGCCCACACATTACACAGTAGCCATTAACAACTTGACTTCTCCATCCTTAGCGAGAACAAGTCAAAATGAGAATGAAAAGAAAATCACCTAACACTAGGACAGGAAACAGCTGGCATTAACTTATTTCCTTTATTTGCCGTTGTCACAGAACTAATGACGCAGGTTACGTAAAGGGACCGTAACCATTTCTCTAGTGAAACTGAAATTATCGCATCAGTTTTTGCAGAACAACATCCGACAAATTTTACTTCATCAGACAAGTTCTTTACAGTGACATACAGCAGTGGTGTGGAACAACGTGTCTGCATCAGTTTTTCAGTGAGGGACATATTTGTTCAGGCCAACTCACACAAACTTGTAGTCAGTGCCATGACCTCAGGTCTGAGCAACACTGTGTGACCTCTGACCATCTCCAGCCTCTGATATGTCTGAGAAGTTTATTCAGAAGGATGTGGACAAGACCTGACTGTAAACTCAGTAAATAATTGATGGAAAAAGACACAAAACCATCTGAGCAGGAAGACAACCAACTCACTGAGCCACAGGTCAAACAGTGAAGACAATAGACAATCTGTCACAGAAAAGCTGGGTCTTTAAGACATTAATTTACAGAAACCTTCACACTTCCCAAATCAGTTTGAATTATTGGACTAAATATTACAGTCTATCTGACAGAGAGAATTTTAGAAACCAGAGAATTTGGTTTAAATGTGACAAAAATTACTGGATCTGGACATGTCAAAACACATAATAAAAACAGTCTCTCCTGCCTCTTTATCACCAAAATCACCTACAGCTGCCAAAACATTTTGGATTTCTGTCTTAGATAAAATATGGACAAAACATTATTTTTATTCATCAACATCACTTGTTTTTCTTTTCTACATCACTGTTGGCAAATCTCAGCTCTTGAGTCCTGACATCATCTTGACCCACCCATAAGCAAACAGGTCTCATGAACTCACACCTACAACCATGACATATAACACCTGAGTGTTAAAACCAAACACAAGCGAAGGAAGTGCAAAGAGGATGGAAAATATGACAAGCTGTGTGTTTACACAGAGGGGAGAAAAATCTAAATCTGTTTACATTCCGCACATATATATTTTCTTACAGACTCTGTGTAGAAACATACACACATTTGAATCCAGAGATTGAGATTGTTAACTACTGCAGCTGAGAAAATAGATATTTTTCTTCACATGATAATCAGCATCACAGCTTGGGCCTCAGACTGATCGCCCTACGCCATCTAAGCCATGATTAAGACCTGGCAAACACAAGCACGACTCTAACTTTCTCCCAAAGTCTGCTACTGGCATATCCATCCATCAGAGTCTGACTCAGTTCCGCACCGGTGCCAGAACAGCATCGCCAGGGTGATGAGAAGAACACAGGCTGTCGAGCGTGTGGAGGCTTTGGTCGACTCAGGGATTATGAGCTTGTGAGCGTACATTTATGAAAAGTGTGAAGGGGCTGCTGGTGTATGAAAGAGTATTGAAGGTCACGTCAGACAGACAGATGGTGTTTCCATCATGTGGACAGAAGTGAAACAAAGACAGAGAACTAGGTGTTTCACATTTTCTTAGTCACGTATCAATAGCTGGACTTCACCTGACTGTGGGTTTTTTTCCATTTTATTCTTGCGCTAACAAAGGGCAGGCACTCAGACCATAATGAAGTTATGTGACATTATTTGTCTTGATTTTTTGTATCACCGGCATCATAATAATTTTACTTAACAAACATATTTAAAAAATATTAAGAAGTAAATTGACATTGATCATTAAGAGGACTGATATACTACCTCGGATAATGTAATCTTTGGCCTAATTTCAAAGTTTTCTTTCCATCTTCTTTGAAAACACTTCACTTTGTTTTATGTGTAGCTAGCCCAAACTTTAGCTAAGCTAAGCATTATCTCCTTATTGACTACCATTTGGCGGTGTGAAAGACTTTCAGCAATTTCGTCAAACATTGAGGTCATTTTCTGCTAAACTTTATTTAAACTTGCATTGTTTTTCATGCAATCCCAACAGGTTCTCATTATTAATGGACATCATAATTTCAAACTGTTGTTTTTGTCCTTACCATTTTTGCGTTCACTCAGAGGAGGCAGATTCTGTGTGGGCTGCAGTGTCAGCTCCTGCATGTCTTGGGTCACCGCCTCGCTCTGGGGACTGGGCACAAGAAGAACGGACATCCCACAATCCCCCTCTGCAACGAGCTGACTCTGGGAAGCCTGGGGCTCCATGCTCCCTCAGGGGAGGGGTCGGGGGTGGGTTCAAAACAAACAGTTCCTTTAGGTCACCGTCCTTTTAATTGACAGCCCACTGCTACCTGTGTGGACAAGTGAAAGAGAAAGTGAGAATTAAAAAAATGTGGGTAAATAACTCACTGAGAGGGAATATGTCCATCTGGGATGTTTTGTGAGTTTCTCATGAATAGTCATTCTAAATAACCATCATCATACTGTTGGTATGACTACTTCACCCAAACGCTGAAATGCAGAGAGTGGCATTTCACTGCAGCCATCTGGAAGAGCTCAGTCGCAGCCCAAAATTATTCATTAAACGAGCTAAGGGCTTGCCATTATACTGAATAACGACTTCAAAACCGCTGCTGCTGAGAAACAACGCCAGTGAGCACATGAATGTTCTCTCTGTTCGGAGCGAGAGCTTCATAATGTGGAATATGACGTTGCTGTGGCCGTTTCAAACACAAGGAAAGGAAACATTTTTGGGGAGCAAAACAAACAGTTTAGTATCCAAGGGCTTCCCAGCGCTCTCTTTAACCGATGGATGACAGACTGTTGAGTCTGAACATGTAGGCTATTTATCGCTCTCCAGCAGCACCCAATACATCAATCCCAGGGTATAAGTGTACTCTACCAACCACCATCCTGATGTGTTTCTCTTGGCCATGAACCGCTGTATTCCAGAGACTGCTTTTATTTCTCCCTGCAGACCCTTGAAGTGCCAAAGACATTAGATGGTGAAGAAAGGGCATGGAACACAATACATGTAATTATGGTCCATTCAGCTTGTTTACTTAACGCTGGTGACATTCCTGGAATCCAAACACAACAAATCATTAACACTGTGCTTTATCATCCAAGAGCTGCCTTTAAGTTACCTAAAACAGGCACAGTATTTACTTATAAATGTAAAGTGTACTGCAGAGATGCCATGATCAGCATGTTCTGCTCCTGAAAGTATCTCTTTACAATTGATGAGGTGCAGACAAAGTGTTTAAAGATGAACCTAGGACTTGCGAATGCCAAGCAAAGTGCACAAAAAAATGACTCAAACTGAAAAAAAATGTCTGAACAGCAGCATTTAGCAGCAGCATCACACTTATTTCCAAAGCAAAACCTACTTCAACAAAGAAGTTAGTTTACTTTTTTAGTCAAGTGAGTTCAAATTTACTAACATACAGATGTGAATTTAGCAGTGGCTCCTGTCATTAGTGGATTTTCAAACTATCAGTCATGTTGCGTTACACTCACATCACACTGTCATCATCTGGAGATACGAGTGTCTTTGGTCAATCCAGGGTTTGGTTGCTCTCCGGGAAGTTAATCCCAGTTCACTTTACCAGTAATCTGAACTGGTGCAGGCTGAATCTGGCCATCACTTCAAAGACTCAGGGACACACTATATCTCCTTCATAATGATTAAATACCACTACAGCACCATGTAACACACACTTCAACCTCAGTGGTGCAGTAACAGCATCTTTAATAATTTACTCCACCTCTGCTCTGTCACATGTAAACCTTTCCTGGAGATTACTATCAAACAGTGCATCCTGTAATGTGAGACTTTTGACATTGAATTTTTTTTCCTAGGCAATGTGCTGTAATCTGTTTGAAAAGAGACTGTGTTCGCTCCTCTTCATCATTTTGACTCCCAGAGAAAGAACACCATTTGATTAAAGATTTGATTAAAGCTTTGCTTTGAAAGAAAACGTTATAAAAAAAGAAAAACTAACTCTAATGCATCAAAAGACATGGAGTGTATTTCAAAGAGCATGACCAAATCCTAAACTATGATTTTTCACTGTGCTTCTCTGTACTTGTGTGCGGAGATACCAAAACCACAGGAAGCCTGTGGACAGAGACACGTTTGGGATATATGCTGTAGAAAGTTAGGCTAAGCCATAGAGGCAGACATGGTGGAATAAAAAAAAAGAATCCATGAATAAAATACCGTACAGTCAACTGTGCTTAGTGTCCACTACTAATCCACACTTCATTTTTTTTTTTACCACAGAGAATCCTCAGAAAATAATATTATATAAACCTGCCTTTTTGAAGTGAAGCTTAAACAATTGAATGACAGTTCACTGATGAAAGTAGGACATTAAAAAAACAAATGTTACATAAAGCTGTCGGAATAACAAAACAGGTAAACACTCAAGACTGCCCTGAGGTCTGAACACCCATGTTTACAGGTTGCTATGAAAACCTGCTGCCATCTCTAAACACAAAACAAGTGGATCTTTCATGGCCAGACAAAAGAATCCCTTGGAACCAAAGAATAAAGAGCTGTGATTTTAAATCAGACTGGAGCTCGAAGGAGACGAGGGGACGTTGGTCTGAGCCCAGATTAATAGGTATAAACTTGAATAAATTATGAATTTGTAATTGGGATGGAATAACCATAATAGTGTTTTTAAAAAACAGTTTAAGTAAAATTGTATTAGATATAAATGTTCTATAGTTAGGAAGAAGGAAGACTTTAAAAGAACTTAAAAGACTAGGTGTAATGGGAACCAGCACCAGCAGGACTCAAGCTCCAAATCCACATCTGCTGCTATTACCAACACAGCCCATAATAGCACTAGTAACACGGAACCAACAAATGGCAGGCATCGTCTTCCTTATTCTCCTTTCCTGTTTCTACTGGGATTATGAGTGGATCCAAACACATCAAACACCAGTGTCAATGACCTCAGTGGTATTTATAAATATTGTTTTACTTTTAATTTGAAAAAGGTTATATTACACATCCTAAAAGCATGAAATGTAATTATGAACACACAATAAACCAAAATTGACCCCAGAACAAAAGAATGAAAGGTGAACAGAACCCGACCAACAGATGGATAAGAATACTTTGGTTTTCTTTCTGACTTTTTCCCATTTTCTACAGTTAAACCTAACACACTTAATGATGACATCATTTTTACATCTTAAAGGAAACTCTTCATGTCTGGAATTAATTTACCTTTTCTGTTAAGGTGTGTTATGCTGCTGTGAAAGGGTTGTCTGTCTGTAGAAATGACACAATCTTTGGCCACAGGTTTTCCTTGGAAAACATTGGGCACCACCTGGTTATCATTTGAGTCAACATTTTTGCAGACTGACAACAGTATGTGGGTGTGTCTGAACTCTCACCCCCAACCCTACCATAGCCCCAAGGCTATTCCTAATGTGTGTAGTTGCGATAACAAAAGAACTGATACACAAAGCTGTGTTGAGATTTTAGCTGATATTCTGGCAAAATTTTTCGATGAATTTTGAACATTTTGTACCAGAATAACAAGTACTTTCTACCAGGCCTGGTGAATAATGTCTGCTCCAGTCAAGTCTTTCTCTCCCTAAAGAAAAACAGAAGTTCTGTATTAGCTTCTGGGTGTAATATTTCAGCACATATTAGGCACACAAAGAGCTCATTTCTCTTTCCAAGTGTTCTCATAAGCAGGACAATACAACATCAAACTAACCTCATTCTCAACATCTACAAGCTCACGTAGCCGAATGACATCCAACCAACCACTGCCCTAGCGTGTGACTCAATGTCCTTTTGTGGTTAAAATTACACAAATTTAATTTCCTCTGTTCAATGACAACATCAATTTTGTATTAACGACAGTATTTTATGTAAAATTCACCAGAAATCTGAAGAACAAACTGAGAATGTTTCAACCATGGAGGCGGCCTTAACAATCGTACTACAAAAGGGAGATCATCGGGTTTACTGTGCAATACTATCCTCATGTGAGTATGTCAGTGGTGTGCTCAACTAAATGAGCCCAGGCTTCACACTGACTAAGAGTGTAAGTAAAGACAAACTAAAACATCATTATATTTCATTAGCGTATATATACTTTTTGTAACATTTTTTGTTTTTAGTATATTTTGTGTATTTTGATATATGTAAAATATGTGCTGTTGTTCAGAAATGTAGACCAAATGGCCCAAGTTTTATACAAGTTTTTGTTTTTTACAAAATTATATAACAGCATGTAGAAACATCAAAAAGAATATAATTTAAAAATTGCATGATGTAATTTCCTGATTACTTTGCAACTTCTTCGTGATGTCATCGCAGTGTTAGTCACTAATTTGATTGTGGTAGACCAGCAAACTCTCTTTTGTGCTACCACATTTTCCTTTTCACACAACATTTAACATCTTGAACTCAAACATCAGCACTGCAGCACTGATGAAGAGCTGTGTGGAACATATTTCACTCTACTGTTACTTTTTATTTAATACAAACACCGTCTCCTGTATGACTAGTCAATGGCAGCCACATCCGACTGCTGCCTGTTCAAACATCCATAAAGTTTTACTGTCTTTAGCAGGGAGGTAGCATTTGGCATTGCCTCGGTGGACATCACTTTTACAGTCACGCTTTTACACACAAGCGTGAGTACAATACCTAGCATTCAGTTAGTTCTCCATGTGGTCTGATAACTGTGCACGCATTTATGGAAACAGGAACTGTTGTAAGAGAGAGAGAAAACAACTCATCGGTTCCAAGTCCCTACATTCTGACGGGAAGAGTTCACAGGTCAAAAGGGCTGTAAACAGGCCTGTCTCTAGAGACATCAGTGATAAAGTACTCATTAGGCCAGAACTCAAGCGCTTCTTTGTGTCAAACAACAGCTTCAGTCTGCAGACTTCTGTGCCTTAAATAGACCAAGTCCTGCTTAAAAAAAAAAAGTCTGCTTTCATGCAAAGATAACAAAGGAATGATGTAATCTCTGAAACTCATTCACTGGAACTGCTTTTCTGCCCTGTTCCCACAGACAAACACATGTGATGTGATTGGATGTTGTTTCCTTGTTGGCTGCCCTTTGTGGACTTTTCTTAAATGATCTACTAAAACTGTACAAAAGGACAAAAATAATAATGGCTCATGGCCAAAAAACACAAGAACAGCAATTTTTTAGATGCTGAAAATGCCAGATTTCTGCAGCATTACTGTGAAAGAAAACAAGGCATTTAATGCTGTCTGTGTTGTACTTCAATACACGCTTGTTATATAAAGCAGTTTCCGATGGACGATTACATAGGTGTATGCAATGCACACGGATGAGGTTGCATGCTTGGTTGCAGACTGTATCAGTGTTTATAACATAATACTAAGGTTGCAGAATATACATATGATGGATTTACCTCCATCATATAACATGAAGAGTAAAATGAAAAAAAAAGGAAATATTCAGGGAAATGTATTCTAGATCAGAAGGGTTAGGGTTTACTATGTTAGATGATGTAGTAGACAGGAATAGGGAATTATTTTTGGAAATAATCTAATAGTTGTTAAATAACAAAGAATCATTTAGTTTATCATGTCTTAAGAAAATATTACTTTGTTATACTGGTGCTTTCTGCACAGGGGTTGTATAGCATTTGATATGCTGTGTGATGGCCAAGTTAGATGCCACTGCAGATGAAGACAATTTAGGATTTTTTGAACAGTATTTTTTACTTCAAATGCCCATCTCTAATAGTAGTGTATTTTGGTTTTTTTCTAAGCTCTACAACATTTAAAGCCTAACTATAGAACAATTAGTCACAAGTTAGCTTCATTACAGGCTCCAAAATTCATAAGGGGGGGCTTCAGCCCTCAGAATACCACCTAAAGTCATAGTTGACAATGTTACCGCTATCACGCAGTATCTTAATGGGACACATCCCCACTGAGAACAAGTTGTACTCTCCAGTTGCCACGCTCACAGCAAGAGGTAAAACCATCAGGCATTTACTTCAACATCCTAACATCAGCCACTGACTCTGGCCAAGGACAAGGAACGCTTGAATACCAGGATATGATGATATGTGGTAATATTCTTTGATCCAATATGCCAAAGGGAGAGACAGGGAAACATCAGTATTAAGAAATTTAAGGAGGCAGAAAGTAATTTAAGGAGGCAGCCTCACTGCAAACTAATACTTCAAGGGGAGATTGAGGACACATGGGTAAAGATGGCTTACAGCCTTGGGTAATCATAAGTAATCATTACTTAGCCATCAAAACATACTGTATGCAGAGTGTATATGCAGCCACTAATATTACACAGGCTTCAGCCAAAAGCTTTTTAAGTAGATGACCACACCTCTAAAATATATGTTCAACTTCTCAGTAAAGATTTTTAGCGTTAACAACAACCAGAACATCCGAGAATGCCAACTACTGAGAACAACAGTCCCTTTACGTCCAGTTTAGCTTGAGCAATGTCAGTGTTTACAAGTTAAATGTCTGATTTTGCTGTTGCTGTTCTCCTCCATTGTTGTTTAGCTTCACAAGACTACCATAGCTATTAAATAATACAAGGTCTAGAGTGCATTTGTGACAGTACAAAGATTTTGATGACACAGTGTCTGGCATGACTGTCAGTCAACCAAACCTTGAACCAAAGTCAGCAAACAGTTTAGACTTGTCACTATCTTTAGTTCACAATACAGAACTAAAGCTAAAAACAATGAGTGGGTATCAAAAAGAGCAAAGGCGAAAACAGCTGCTAAATGTGCATGGCATTTCAGCATGGATGTTGACACACGATGCCATTAGCTTCCACATTAAATTAGACAGTGACATACAAAGAGGCATGACATCAACAATGTAAAAATGCAAAACTGTCTTCATCTGAGATTGAACTGAAGGACACTAAAATGTGATCCCAAGATAAAAAGTCACAAATATCCCCACAAGGGTTTAAGGTTTAAGTGGAAGTGGCTCCATCAGCCCCATCCAGGCAGGATGTGGTGATTCACAAAGAGCTGGCAGAATTTACTGCAACCTAATGCAATTTGCTGCAGCCTCTCTTTCTCTCTCTCACAAATACATACTTATAATGATAATTTAGACAGAACCTTTTTTAAAATAAATGTCAATGACTGTCATTTCAGTCTGGCCACCTGTAGTTAGTGTTATCACAGTGACTGTAGGAGGGCGTTGGGTGAGGGAGAGCTAACGTATGCTAAGCTGCTTCAAATCTGACAGGTGAGAGAGTTAAGAGACAGCCAGACAGAACACCGACTGGGCGCGTCCACACACACACAAAGGCACATTTCCCCACAGTGTCACACAGGTTTTTCTGTATGAAAGACTGTCAAATATTCTCTGACCAATGATGGCAGTGCAGTCACGGCAGAACTCCGCGTCTACGACACGAACCCGTCCCTTAACAACAGGCTCCTCGTAATTTTCTCTGCCAGTTAGCTCCCTGGGGCTAACGTGGGCTTGCGTGCTAAAAACAACACAGCGCCACCTCTTTTCTCTGCTCTTACCGAATTCTGAAGTCCTGTAATACGAACTTGTCCCAGTTTTGCTTCACATGTCCGTTAGAGTCAGCAGAGCCGTCTTCTGTAGGTATTGGGTTTGTTCTCCCGAGCCTCCAGCTACGAGATTGAAGTTTATTTCACGGAGGAAAATGGCTGCGACTGTGTCTAGGTTCAGATGTAGACTGACGTCATGACGCAGTCAGGATGCCAAGCACTAGGGGGCGTGGTCACAGGGGCAGGGACCCCAGGGACGATGACCATTCATTCATTACATTGAATATTAAAACATCCTGATTCCAATATTGGGGGGGGGGGAGTATAAAGAGTATAAAATTGTACAAAAGCTTTAGTCGACCAATAAGTCTAACACAGTCTGTCCGTATCTTTAATTCATCATGTAAGAAAAATATTTCAATTTTCCAAAGATAAAACTAATCACTAGATGTTATTCCTGAAGGCTAGGATTATTTATTTAATAAATACCATTAGTACATATACCATTAGAACATATAGAAGTCCATTGTTTCAACGTTTAAATATTTATCAAAGGTGGTATTAAAAATGTTTTGAGTTTGAGAATGAGTTTGAGAATTTCAACACATTAACTGAGTAAATTACACAATTTCTCCTACAATAGAAAACTAGGCAACTACTTCACGATAAAAATATTCAGTTTCACTAGGAATTGCTGATGTGTACACGACTTCACATTTCATTTCATTTGCAGAATTATTTCTTCTTCTCTTTGGACGTCTGTCTGTTCTTCTGCACGGGAACAGGAACGTCAGCTACATTATGCAGGAAGTCATACAGTAATTTGGCATTTTGGGTGTTCCCCAGAATTTCTATAAGTCTTTCCTGACTGAGTCTGACTAAGTCAGCCAGACTGTCAGCGTTTTTGATCAGAGACCTGTAATTTTTAGTACTAACTCCAGGCATTTTTAGTAAAAAGTCATAAGGTCCAGGGTTGTAGAGTGACGCCGATTCGGTCACAGTGTCGGACTCTGCTGTGATGGCCTGGGCCGCCGTGGCGTCTGGTTGAGGACGTCCTTGCTTCAGCTCCAGGAAAAGGTCAGCCGTGACGTGTGGGGATGGACACCAGAGAATCCGGAGACGAGGGAAGTGCAAAGTGAGAAGGGTGAGTTTTGAGGAGATGTCATTGGATGATATATCATTACGGAACTCTGTGCGTGCCGCTAAAGAGAACGGCTTGGCTGGGTCAAACTCAATCAGCAGCACCGGTTTCCTGTAGTAGCGGGTCATGGAGAGACACTGGGTGTAGAGGCGTCCGCTCTGCAGTGAGCCAATCAGATCACTCACACTCTTCCGCTCCACGCAGATGTCCGGGGTAAGGATGTAGTCTCCCACTTCTAAGGTGACGGGTTCGATGTCCAGTCCGCGGCGGTGCAGCAGGGAGGGCAGTTCACTGCGGAACTCTCGCATGTCCACGATGACTCTGGATGGTTCTTTGGGCTGCTCCTGACCTCCTAGGGTGAAGGAGAAATAAACAACAATTAAACACCTTTTTAAGACAAAAACAAAGGTTTAAAGGGTTTGGATATAAACCCACCTGCTTTACGGGTGTTGGTCGTTGCATTAGCGGGCTCCAAGTTTCTAGCGAGATCTAGGTTGGTGTCCTCTCGTCCTTCCCTCTCCTCTGGAATGACCATAACAGCCTTTTCCCTGCAATTGAACAGGATGGGACGGAGAAGGAGAAGGAGGGAAGAAAAAAAAAATCAACAATTTATCCAAAATGTTGCAGTGATGTACATAAAGTTAGACCACCCAATAAAGATTTGTTTTCCCCAAAATGAATCCTTGAGACACTTGGAATTTACGATTCCAGCTCCCAGGTTGAGTTCTTTATTCTTTAGGAATTCCCTTTAGGAGTTCCAGATAGACCTTTTATCTGTTTTTCTTTCAAAATGTTTTGCTAAAACAACCACAGAATCTGAGCTGCAAGTACAGTATATTGTAAATTTAAAAGCTGAGTCATCTTTTTTGACATGTCTGGTAGAAACCTATAAACTTGGCATGGCCCAGACCTTATACACCAGTGTATGGAGGAAATGTACTTCTTCTTACCTGATGAGGTGTTCAAAGGCCCTCTTTTCTTTAGAGAGTGCTGTCAGGTACTTCTGCTCTTCTGTGGAGCCTCCATAAATGAGGAAATAAACCCGGAGAGGTTTTCCGGGTCTGCAGGCTTTGTAGATCTCCAGTTGTCGCACAAAACTCACTTCGGCATCGTACAGCACCACAAAGCTGGGCTCCACCTCGTGCAGCACCCGTGTCAGGCTATGGGGGTCACTGCAGCCTTTCAGAGGGTGGATAACGGTCAGTGGCTCCTTCAGGATGCCGTAGTAAGCGTCTGAGGACAAGTCCAACTTCATTTGCTCTTCCTCCTCCTCCATTAGATCCTCTTCATCCTCACTGCTGCCCAATATGAGTGCCTCCTTTGACTCTTCCTTCCCCACCATCTGGGTCAGGGTCAGCGATGGTCTGCTTTTACTCTTTGTCCTGGTGATTTTCTTCTGTATAGGTTCCTTCCCCTTGGTTCCTTTTTTGAGGCCATTTTTATCTTTTCTGTGCAAGTCCAAGTGTAAGGAAGCAGCAGCAGCAGAGTCTCTTTTACCGACTGTACGTGCATAGAGCCTGTTGAGCAGCCAATCACTGCCATGTCTGATGTACTGCTGCAGCTGGGCACAGGTTCGATCATCACTGGCGCAAATCAGCACTCGACCTGGAAGTAGAATCAAAACTGGTTCACATTCCAAGCACCATGTCTTAAATAAAAATAAACCTGTAGTCATTAACATTCTGGAATATTCTCTGTTTCTGCCTTCAACCTAGTGAAATGGTAGCTTTCTACCTTTGATATTTATATCTGTTCATTTGTGTTAAAGTCATTTTATGTAGAAGCTCAACATGGGACACAACTTTTGGGTGCTTATTATTATTTTATATAAAAACAGATAAATGATCATTTCAAGAACATAATAAAAAACACTCCACAAAACAAATATGATATGATTTAAATGCAATTCAATGTCATAGTGTTTCCATGTACTTGGTACTACTACTTTGGTAGCAAGGTGATACAACATGATGCGTAAATACTACTGTTATTACATTTTATATCTTTGTTTCCATCTCTACAGTGACCTCTGACCTGGCTCCAGCTGAGAGTTTTTGTTCTCCTTCTCAATCTCTTTCAGCACCTCGGTCAGAGCCTCCCACTTTGGGCTCTTCTCCAGCACCAGCTGTCGTTTTACCTCTGTATATATATATAAAAAAATAAATCACATTATACCTATATTATTTCATATCATTATCCAAACACACAGAGCAGGTAATAATTCTCAGTGTAACTACAGATGCACACCTGATGCACACTTCTGTTTCTCTGCTTCTGCTCCGACTTTCAGCTTCTTCTTGCTCTCGCTGATGCGATACACTCGACTCCTTGCATTCACAAACATGGAGGTACTGGAGTCCAGGAACAACCAGCCTGCAACAGCAATTATACACAGTCAGACACAGTTGGTTAGAATCATTCAGAGAACAAATCTGTAATTATAGTAAATCCCCCGAACAAGGACGACGACCTGAATTGAAGCCAAAACTTTTCTGGCTGGAGCGCAGAGACTCCAGCAGATTGAGGAAGGTGATGCAGTCGTACTGGGTGAGGTAGAGAAGAAGAACCCTCAGCACCTTTAGGTCCTGCACCAGGGCCTTGGTCTTGGCACCTAGCTGGTGCCAAAGGGGGTCCAGATAGTGGCGTATGGTCTAGATGGAGCAAATATAATCCAAAGCTGTATTAATACACTATCTTTATGAGTCAGTACTTAGCCCACAGACCTGAGTGTACCAATACTGCAACTAATTAAATTAGCCCAAATACAATTAATTACAATAACCCAAGGTAGATTCCTTCATGGTCTCCTTGGTGTATAGCACCTTATGTGAAGTGTAATTTATTTTGGTTCTACTTCTCACTTCTACAATACACAGCAAAGGAATGTGTTTTGTCTTAAATACCAGGGACAAAACTATTGAGATAAATATTGAGATTTAGCAAAAAAAAAATAACTATTGAGATAAATATTGAGATTTAGCAGAAAATATCAAAATAGGATTTTTTAACATCAACCAACTGAATATAAAGACAAAAAAAATGTATCGCCGGAGAAGATAGAGACCACAGCTTGAGACCTTTTCAAATGCATTTCCCAGTGTGTTTTCTAGAGACAGGTCCTCAGCCTCCAGGGAGGGGTTGTACTGCTTCAGTTCCTTCAGACAGGCACCCATGATGTCCAGGATGGAGCTCTGAATGGCCCTCATAGTTGGTGTGAGTGATACGTGAAGCTCCACCACCTCTGGCTTATGTCTGTCAAGTGCTGAGTTCACTGAGGCCTGGAACCTGGTGGGTGAAGCAGGTGTATCAGCACTTCAATGTTTTACTTTTCATGTGATTTGTAATACTTAGTCCTGGCCTACCTGGGCCAGAGGTAGAGCTTCTTGACAAAGAGGTTCCTCATCACACGCTCCACCTGACAGAAGCCTGAGGAGAAGGCTGTGGCTTTGTCAGTGAAGGCTTTGATGAAGCCGGTTTTATTCTTTTGTCTGAACAGACGGAGGATGAACGCCTCCTGACACGACTCAATGATCTTATGAGCACGATACACCAGGATGCCTGAGGCAAGGCAGAGAAGGAAGGACAAAACAAATCTAAACTTGTGCAACATGATACCAAGCAATAAATGTATGAATTTAAATGAAGTTATGACTTATATGACTTAAACGACTCTCTGAGGACTTAGGTCCAGATCTGTTACCTGAAATGAGGTGAGCCGGGATGCGGTCAGTCAGGAAGTCCACCACCAGGATTCTGCTGGTCACAAACAAAACTCCACCCTCTGTGTAGACATTATAACGCTCTGTGCTGTGAACATCACTGGTCACCATCCTGGGCAGATGGTTAACACCCTCCACACGCAGCTGCTCCGTGAAATACTCCTGAGAAGGGCGAATAATAATAATAAAAAAACATATGAAAATACTTTTCGAAGTGAAATACCTTATGTTGGATCCATTTTTAAAATAAAATGATCATTCGCTAGTCATTTCACCACTGTATTCTCTGCAGGACAATTCTATCGTTTGCAAGAAATCTCTAGAGCAACAGGCAGGGTTTTATAAAAATTTCAATTTTAGGATTAGCTACATCTAATTTCCAAGAGAATCCAATTCAACTCCAAACCTGTTCAGCTGTGGTTGTGTTCAGCAGCAACACTAGGGTGTCCTGTTCGGAGTAAACCCTCATAAACTGCAGTAGAATGCGGTCAATTCCCAGACCCTCCGCCACCACCAGGAGCCCATCACTGCCGAACAGACTCAGGAACATTTCTGTCTCAAACTCCAACAGAGGAGCCGCCATGGCGGGAAAATCAGCGGTATGTTCTGTAGGCAGCAAAGACTAAAAGTATGCCGTCTCTGTCGGTAACAAATATCAGCTAAAAGGCGAGTAAAACATTGTGAGACAGTCACAAAACAACTGTTAACGTATGTGGCTTCTTGTTTTGGAACTGTTTTTCCGGTCACGTGATTAAGCAACGAGACGCCATTCACTGGCGTCTTATCTAGCACTCCCTCTATCGACTTGGGGTTGAATAGCAGTTAGAAAGGCCAGTTCTGTGTTCGTTCTATATTTACAAGGACGCACTGCGAAAGTCAGAATGAGAAGAGATTAACCCAAAAGAGTTCAAATTTTAAGTCCAAGTCAGTATGGATCCACAGTTCAGTGAACCGAGGCACGTCCAAAACAGTTAAAGCTATTAAATAACAGTGGGAATGCTCTTTGTTCTAAAGCAACATGTTTAACAGTGGGAATGCTCTTTGTTCTAAACATGTTTCGTTTGGGTTTTGGTTTTGTTTTTTTACATTTTTTCCTGAGTCTGAGAGTTTGCACCATTTGACTCTTACATTTCTTAAAACTGCTGAAGGGAGAGTTTCTGCAGTCGAGTCAGCAACGAGCATGACCCTGAAGATAACAGGACACATGATGTCTGGCCTTGTCTGTGCACAGAGAAGCAGACACGATGATGTGAAGGCAAGGCTAAAATGAAAGGCAGTGTGGGAAGAAAAACGAGGCTCTGCCTTAAAATGTGATGTCAAAAGAGAGAGACGTTCTCAGAATTTTCTGTCAACTGTAAAAGATCAAAATAGATTAATTATTAAACACACAGGTGGCTGAAAATGAATGTTTCTGTTAGGGTAAGTTCCCCCCCTCCCACTTAATATGAACAACACATATTTTAATACAATAGGTAGAAATGTTCAAGGTGCAGTTCTGGGGCACTAGGAAACTTCCTAGAGTTGCTTTTTAACGGTGCACCAATAAATAATATTAATAAAAAAACAAACAGATTTTTATTTTGTTTGTTTTTCTGTCAAAACATTAAATTTTCTGGAAATGTGTCAGTTTGACATGATTTCTTTGTGTCCAGATATCTTCTTGGTTAACCCTTAGCTTATGTATTAGCTGTTAGCTTTTTGTTATATTTAACCGTACTGCTCTTTTGGCCTAATATTTATTCATCTTTTAGCAACTTGGAGTGGTCACAATGTCCTGCAATAGCAAAAAGAAACCTCTAGGGTGCAGTGCAGGGCTTCTCGTCTCACACGAAACCTACGCGTGTCATAGAGAATAAGACAAAAAAAAAAAAAGAGAGAGAGAGACAGCGTTTGTGCTTTTCGTCCTCCTGTGGGACATCATCGTCTTCATCTCCACGGAAGGATGAAGGCATGAAGAAGGACGTTCAAATTCAGCAGCAGCAGCAGCAGCAGCAGCAGGGGTGGTGAGAGAAGGAAACACCAAAGTGACTCCACTGTTATTACATTGCTATGGAACATGAAATTGAATCAAATGATCCATAACTGCGCTGGGAGGAAAGGGAGAGTTTCAGTGGAGGGTCTGTGGCAAAAAGTGCTCATTTATTTCCTGTTCTCACCAATCAGGATGGAGACAGAAAAAAACAAAACAGTGAACAATTAGGAGCTGAGGTTCATTCCTGATCTCACGGTGTGGTCTGGCACCACTGTAAATGAGAGGAGAACAGCTTGAAATTGATGGGCAGGCTGGAGGATAAAATAAGATGAGATACTTAACACTGCCTGCCTGTCTGACTGCAGTGTGGGAGGGAAATGAGAGAGAGAGGGAAGGAAGGATAGAGGAAGAGAGAGGGAGAGGGAGCTAAAAGCCCGATAACATCCCTCCAGCCCTCATTAGGAGAAAAGAGAGATGCAGCAGGGTTAGGTTGTAAATGGAAGGATGAGCCTCAGAGCTAAAGAGGTTCTGACTGAGGGGGTAAAGACCCAGAGACCCAGTCTGGAGGTGAACACTTACCTTTTGACTAACACTGACTAACACAAGATTCCATTTTCTTCTTCACTCCCTTCTACATATTTTGGCTAAACCTTTGGCACTGTTTTGAGGTCTGACATTTGCCACTTAATATTAATCTGTAATATTTCCTTTTTTCATCTTTTCTCATTAGAAAGTAAAACAAACCATGTGAACAATGCTTAGCTCACAAACACACATTTCAGTGGATTCATTACCACAGAGGACGGAGGACGGCTGATGGAGATGCTACGTGTGCTGTAGTCAAGACCCTGGGTACTTCAGCCCCTCAGTGACATGAGAGCAGAGGTGAAATTGCAGAGCCGCGCGGCTGCAAGTTCCCACACTGGGATTGTGACACCTTAATATCTGAGGGGTGATGAAGTAAAGATGAGGGCGAAGGTGTGGGTCTCTGTTTTCAGGACAGGCTGCAGCAGTCGGCCCTCGTCCGCCCAGCTTCACTGTAATGACACAGACAAGCAACAGCTTTGTTTACGCAGCAGTGGAAGATTAACAAGAGCAACCAGACCTAGATTCTGTTTTTTTTTTTCCAAACCAACGCTGCAATTTGCATACATTAGCAGTGACAAAAGAAATGATTGAACATCAGAGCAGAGGGGAAAATAACACCACTCCATGGTTAAACAGAGCATGTGAAAAAATATGCTTTGGAAATTAGATGGAAAATTGAATTTACGCAAACGTATGGCCTTTATAAAGGACTGGAACAAGTGCTGCTGCCTGTCACGTCCACTCCTGTAAATCAGTGTGAGGGCAGAGGCCAATAGAAGGGAAGGACCGTGGTGTTAGAGAGGAAAAATGACCGAAAGGGAAAGAAACAGAGGTAAACAGAGGAAGTTGTTTTTTCTCCTCTGTATGTAATGTTTGAAAAACACTGACATAATGGCTGCTTTTGTCATATGGATATTTTGCATGAATAATTCAAAGGTTTTTGCAGAAACGTGAGAGGACAGAAAATATTTCACTCGTGCATCAGAAAAAAACGACTGCTATGTGTGTCTGTGAGACAAAAGGAGAGAAAAAAAACCCCATGGCTAGTTGGAGTGAGATCATGTGAGCGAGCGATGAAAGGACGGTGTACTTTTGAAATTCTAAAACACACACAATCACAGAAATACCCACAACGCAGAGGGATTCACGTGCACGTCTTTCAGGACTCTCACACGCACCCAGTGGCAGGAAGACTCTCAGTTTAATGTTGTGGCCCAACATTTCCTTGTGTCTATAAGACCTATAAATCCTCATACCTGGCAGATCTGAGGGGCCCTCACTTATCCAGTGGATGCGAAAAAGTCACATTCGCAACCTTTGCATTTGTCAGGTCCGCAGAAAGAGGGGGCAGCAGAGGGTGCAAGAGCGAAACCAAAGGAGAGAGGTAGAGATCACAGAAGCTCAAAGGGCGATTTAATCTCTGACCGGTGATCTTCTGCAGTGGGAAGACATCCATCTCTCTTTCTCCCTGTGTTAGTGTGCAGCCCTAGGTGTGTAGGTGTAGGTGAGGATTGGAGGTTGGGTGGAGAGGGGAGGGGAGGATGCTTGGACTGAATTTAAAAACAATAGGAGTGTTGTTGTTTTCACAGATGCAGAAGGTCTGTGAGGATGAAGGACTGAACCTCCTCACCCTGATGAAGGCGTCGTCGTCGTCGTCATCATCATCATCATCATCATCATCATCATCAGACTTGGAACTGTGTTTTAAACCTTCCAGTCCATCTGTCAGTCCATCCATCTCCAAAGTAAAGCTGTTTTTTTGGACAACTTTCTAAAATGTTGTAGAGTACAACATTGGTTTGTGCCGTTGTGTTTTTGTCTCCTTGTCCTGCAGATAAAACATTAGCCTGAAGCTACATCCACACAGGTGCTTCATTGTTTGTTTTTGCCAATTAGACACTTACAGATTGCATTTATTCACGCTGGCTATAAATCACCAGACATTTTCCTTTCCACAGCCAGATGTTTTGACATGTAATAGCTTTGGTGACAAATACACACGCTGATCCAGACTGAATAAATCAACACCGGCGTTTAATGGAGCCTCAGCTGAGCTTTTTCATGGACGACAGCTGGACTTGAAAATGAAAAAATGAACAAGACTGTAAATCCACAGACTGGGTGACGGACTTGGCAGCTGCTTATTCTTGGTGCACAGGTGCTTTTGTGACGCCTCACTCCTTATTTACATCACCAATAATGACATTAGCCACATCTGTCAGGACATTTACATGCATCAATATGCTACAGCTACAGCTCTAGGAACAATGGACCGTCTGAGTGGGACACAGTCCTCATCCTAAACCATGCAAGATTAACTGTTGACAGAAACATGTTCACGTCAGGGGATAATGTCTGGATTTTACTTCACAGTAGGACAACGGGTTAAAGTTTCAGGACATAAATAAAAAACAGCCAATTCTATTGACGTTGTTAGCTTTAGGCTACCTGCAGCTAGCCACTACCAGCAAAGAACACTGATAAAGCCTGCGGGTTCTACAGTTCTATTTCTAAGCTGATATTTTTTTGTTTTCCTTCAGTGATACTGGTCCAGTATAAAACTACTGAAACAGTGTTGTTTTTTTCTAATTTCATCTACATGTAGGCTACTATGCAGTATTTTTACCACAACAAATGAAAGTCTGCCTTAAAGAGAGCAGGACTTAAATTCTAGTTACTTTTCATTATGTCTGGGGACACCACTCTATTCCCAGAATAGCTAAAGCTAATTCTAATTAGCCGTTATCACAGAAAAGGCACGTGTTGGAGTCTGTTTCCCAATTATCACCTACATCTATATATAAGTGAGTCATCAGTGAGATATGTTGGGGGCCAACTGCAGTAACTGTAGTAACAACGTGCTGAAAGCTATAATTTTTTATGCCTAATGTGATCCTTTATTCAAAACCATGTAATCACCTTGGAAGATCAGCAGGTTTTTATAATTAACATGTTGTGTAGAGCTGCATAATACGACTGATTTTAATTCAGGTCACCAAGCTAACTGGCTAACAAAGAACACGTCAGTGGACGTAAAGTGCTTCATGTGATTATCATTCCAGTTCAGTTCGTCCCAAAGGAGACGAGAGCAAGGAATTACATTCTTTTAGAAAACATCCAACGCATCATTTGCTCTCATTTTGACCTTATTCAGTTGAGGGGTAGAAAAGGAAGGGCAACGGCAGTAACTGGAGAATTCT